GGCTAATATACAGGTGAAAATGATCATATTGTTCAAAAGTTCATCTGTTTCTGTAATTCAACTTAAATTGTGAAACCAATATATGCTATAAACTCTTTTTATGTCCCATATTCCTTTGTTTGTATATTGTTGATAATTATGGCTTAAGATAAGATATTCCTTTATTCGTCCCACAGTGGGAATTTCCAGTGTCATCGTTGCGCACATTACAGCAGAGAAAGAAGGAAATAAGAGCAGTCAGATTCCAGACATCAAACAGTCCATTATTTAAAATATGAAAATAATAAGATGGTAAAATAGAGTAAAATATTATAAACTCTGGAGCTATAATTGCACTTGGTTCAGAAGAATTTACAGATGTTTATATTGTACTTTAGCAGCGAATATGAGCAGAATAAACAATAGTAACAATATCAGCAGGTAAAGTGAATATTGAATGACAGAACCTCAGATGGATGGATATGTAATAATGCAGTAATAATATTAACCGGTAAAGTGACATGTGACTAAGTGATTAAGAGTCCAATCCCAAATATTCTACAGTATTTAGGTTTTATACAGCTGTGAGACACTGTAACATTGTAACATATGACGATATATCGCACTTTGTTTGTCATTAGTTGTATATTGTCAGTTGAATAACAGAAGTAAATGGCTGGAGTTTCACCATAACCATATTTCTTCATGAGAATAAATACACAATGTAAGATGCACTACAGTTTCAGTTTATATTCAGTTTTCAGATATACAAAAAGGTACAGCGTCAAATCTGAACATCCTGAAAAGCATTAAATCATTGAACTGTGTGTGGTCAGTGTGTTCCCAGTGTGTGCCCAGTGTGTTCCCAGTGTGTGCCCAGTGTGTTCCCAGTGTGGTACCAGTGTGTGACCAGTGTGTTCCCAGTGTATGACCAGTGTGTGCCCAGTGTGGTACCAGTGTGTGACCAGTGTGTTCCCAGTGTGTGCCCAGTGTGTTCCCAGTGTGGTACCAGTGTGTTCCCAGTGTGTGACCAGTGTGTTCCCAGTGTGTGACCAGTGTGTGACCAGTGTGTTCCCGGTGTGTGACCAGTGTGTTCCCAGTGTATGCCCAGTGTGTTCCCAGTGTGGTGCCAGTGTGTGACCAGTGTGTTCCCAATGTGGTACCAGTGTGTGCCCAGTGTGTACCCAGTGTGTGCCCAGTGTGTGCCCAGTGAGTGACTAGTGCGGTACCAGTGTGTGACCAGTGTGTGGTCAGTGTGTGCCCAGTGTGTTCCCAGTGTGTGACCAGTGTGTGGTACCAGTGTGTGACAATTGAATGCCCAGTGTGGTAACAGTGTGTGCCCAGTGAGTGACTAGTGTAGTACCAGTGTGGTACCAGTGTGTGACCAGTGTGTGCCCAGTGTGTGCCCAGTGTGTGACCAGTGTGTGCCCCGTGTGTGCCCAGTGAGTGACTAGTGTGGTACCAGTGTGTGACCAGTGTGTGCCTAGTGTGTGCCCAGTGAGTGACTAGTGTGGTACCAGTGTGTGCCCAGTGTGGTGTCAGGGTGTGAACAGTGTGTGCCCAGTGTGAGCCCAGTGTGTGACCAGTGTGTGCCTAGTGTGAGCCCAGTGTGTGACCAGTGTATGACCAGTGAGTGACTACTATGGTACCAGTGTTTGACCACTGTGTTCCCGGTGTGAGCCGATGTGTTCCCAGTGTGCCGCAGTGTGGTTCTTACAGCACCAGCAGCACTAGCGTGACTTCTTCCTCTGGTGGTGAAATGTATCTAGGCCACATAACAGAGCAGAGCCCACACATGTGTCCTGTCCTAACATGGTATTATCCTGCAGCCTGGCTTTCAAACAGCTCATTCTGCAGCAATTGCGGGGCTCCATCCTCTCCCAGTATTGACATTTCATTGTGAGAAATCTATTGTATTGGATTTGAATTTAATTTAAGCTTCTTGTTCATTAAGACCAAGACCAGGGATATCGGACGATTAAAATACTGACTGTATGTGGTGGAACTGATTCGTACAAATGCTTACTCTACAAAGTCTGTATACATTTTGCAGAAAGATCTCAGCACTCTGTTAGCTGTGATGAACTGGCTCCCACTTCGTGATGCCACAAAATTGGTGAACGGGATACGTTTGGATGACCCATGTGTGTTGGCAGCAGATTTGTGGATAAACTACACAACAGTCCACATTTCAGTGATTAAAAATGAGATTAAGAGGTCCTTTATTCACCCCACAGTGGGGAAATGTCAGTGTTGCATCACCAGTTACAGAACAGCAGGAATGAGGAGCACAAAGATAAATGAACAATAACTATATACTAATATGAAAGCTCCAACTTTATAATAATAAAGAAGAAAGTATAACATCTCTAACTTTAGCATGGAAAATAGCCAAGTCTAAAATACTGTATATTGTAGTGCAGGTAATATACACAGTAGTTGTAAGTATACATACTCGCAGCACGAGGGTATCGGACAAAGTGACACATGTCATTCACATCCATTGAAGACTGAAGCCTTTCGTTACTCTCCTCAATCTGGGTCCATGTCAGCGCAGACATGGCGTGTGTTTCTTACCAAATAATCTCAGCTGGCTCATCTTGATGTGAGGGAGCAGTGACTCTACTTCGATCAGGTCCTCCTGCCACTGAAGGCCCTTTCATACTCCATTCAATCTAGAGAGACTCGAACAGAAAAAAGAGGGGCCTTATTTGAATAGTATATTGGTTGGCAATTAACTAGCACTGCATGAGGTAGCACATTCTCTGAAGACAATATTTTCAAGACTACATTTTTTGTTGCTGTACGAGAAATGTGATTATGATTTGGCGCTTAGGGCATGATGATTGCACCTCCAGCTCAAACAGGGGAATCGTGAGGCGTTCCCAGACCAGCTGAGAGACACCGTCCCTCCAAAATGTCCTGGGTCTTCCCCTGGTGTCCTCCCGGTGGGATGTGCCCAGAACACCTCCCCAGGGAAGCGTCTAAAACAGGTTCCCAGAGGCACCTCACTAGCAGCGGCGGCTCTACTTTGAGCTCTTCCAACATGACTGAGCTCCTCCCCCTATCCCTATTGAAGCACCCAGCCACTCTGCGGAAGAAGCTCATGCGGGCCGCTTGTTTCCACGATCTTGTCCTTTCGGTCATTATCCGACGCTCATGACCAGAGGTGAGGGAAGGGATGTATCGGCGCCTTCTTCGCCACAACCACTCCATATCTTTAAAGGAAAACTAAACACCAAATCAACTTTTTTATCTCATACACTGCATACATTTGTTTCCTATAGTGCTCTCTACATTTCCTGGTCATTTGTTTGACATTTTACTGCAAATTAGTTAAAATCTCACTTTTGAGCCTAAAACCGTCTGTGTGGCGCCCTCTCTACATATGAATGTTATGCCTGGCCTCTCCATTGGCTCTGGAGTACTGTGTGATGTCAGTTGGCATGTGTGACGTGCGTCTCTCTGAGCCAGTGCTATAAACCCATCCAAGTCTCAAACATGCCCCAGTAGCAGGTTAGAGTATTCTGGCCACATCTAGTGGTTTCAAATATTATTACATCAGTTGACCGCCACTTCTGCTGAGATAATTCAGTAGCTTTGATTCAGGTGTTTAGCTCTACAATTATCTTAGTGTGTAAACAAGGGGGGATGAGACTTACTGGTGTGTAAACTATTGACATAGTTAAAGGCACACCATGTAACTCTTGGCCACTAGGGGCGCTAGACCTGCAACTTTCACGTTTAGCGCCCCTAGTGGCCACAAGCAACTCAGCACTGTCGCAAAAGTCAACAAACAGTTCTTGCCGGTGTCTTGAGTGTGTATTCAGACATCAACAGGTCCACTACCTGTTGGTTGAAGAGTGTTCACGATTGAAGAAAAGAAGACATCCGCTGAATAAAGAAATTGCACAAAAGTGAACAGAAAACCATGTCTGATCAGGTAAGTCGTAGAGCTGTTTTATACCTAAAACCAAGTTCTTATTGTGTTGTTTTGGATTTATTTTATCTGTAGATCGGACTTACGTCGTCTTTTTTTGTGTTTGTCCTGTAGTAAACTATGAATTTGTATATAAAATCATAATAAGCCTCTAATAATGCATACATATTTCTATCTAAAATCGTATAATCCACTAATAATAAACATACATGAACGTGTAAAAGGACAAACCGAAGCTTACAAATAACGACAGTATTTTGCGACTGTTACACGACTTCGCAGTAAGTACATTATCAATTTTTATGCTGATGTTTGTTTTATTTTCAGTCATCATCATCAATTTCTTCACCGCCTGATGAATCTTCCGAATCCCCTCCCGAAACATGGAGAGGACGAGGGGGCCGAGGTGGGCGCGGCGGAGGACGAGGTGGACGCGGGGGAGGACGAGGTGGACGCGGGTGGACGCGGTGGAAGCGGAGGACAACGAGGGAGAGGCGGGGGGAGCGGGATGGAGAGAGGACGAGGAGGAAGAAGAAGCAGCAGCAGACCATCTACAGCTGACTATGAAAGGCTCGAGGATCTTCAACAGAGGAGGAGAGCTGATATGCAGGTATGTGTACACTTATCAATTTATTATTTATACTGTAATTTATAGACTACTATGTTGACAAATGTGTTTTATGCATCTTAGGCCAGGCTACAATCACTTGAAGCAAACCAAAGAGATGCCCTGCTCCAATTAGTGCTAGACAGATTGCCTGGACTGCTTTTTGATCTCCTTGCACTGCAGGACACTCCTCAATCACCTCCTGTACCTGGGCGCATGCACTGGTGTGTGTGTTCAAACTGTAGAGACATGCCTACAGATATTGAGAGACTCTGCTGTAGTCAGCCTCCAGACGACTGCATTAGTACAAATGTACACATGGACTTCTATATCCTGGATGAGGGAGTTCTGCGTCTAGCTCGTGCTGCGTGGAATGACATCTTTGCAGTCGATGACAGCCAGGAACCAGGTGAAGAGCAGCGCTCATACAGACATGCAGCTTACAGGAATTTTGTGCTCTGGCAACATGGGCGATTAGGGGAGGGCAATAGGGTGGTCATACCAAGCTGTGTTGTGTGGCGCATTAGGACCAAGTATCCAGACACTAATGGACAATACACAGGTTTTAGAGTGCGCCGGCTTCCATGACTTATTAATATCAATAAAAATGTGTACATATTAAAATACGTGTTGTATTTCTTTTGTAGTTCAACAAGATTTTACAATTGTTTACATTTTTGTAAGTAGACTTTAGTTATTTAGGGAAAATATTATGCACAGCATAAAACTTATCATACATTTTATTCAAATAAAGAATGAACAAAAACAGTTACAAAACAAAATGTCCTAGTCTTCCATTAGTAGAGCCATTGCTCCCCGGGAAGTGTGTCTTGCCACAAGTTCAGCAGTGGGGGGTGGTGTGTCCGCTGTGCCAACCAGTCCAAGGCGCTCAGGGTCATCTTCTGAAAGGGTTCTTCTTCGAGGAAGGCCTGACCCACTCTCTAATCTTCTCCTAAGAATTGCCTTCTGAAGGTCGGGAATGTAGGCATACGTCTTGGCCTCCTTTGTAACATGCACACTCCAGTTTTTTGACTTCTTATTGTAGTACCGTCTGTAACTGTAAAACACAGAATACCACATAGTATTACCCTCCAAACAATAAATTTAAAATTGTGTACAGTAAAAATACATACATTTTTTCTCCTTTTCTGTTGCGTCTATGTTCTCGACCATTGTGGTAGTTGTAATCTATTGCAGCAAGGAAAACCCTGGTTCTGTACACTTTATACTTATAGGCAAAGCGCTTCCCTGCATACATCAGAATATGGTTCTGAAAACTCTCCAAATCTGACGTAGTTCTGTAAAAATTAGATTGAAATTAGTGGTGGTCTATGCCATTAACATTATCCAAAGCATTACATTATGGCATTTACATTATCCAAAGCAACAAAAGGATAGAGAAAAAAATAGATAAACTGCACAAACATACCTGAATGTTATGTACTTTTTCACATTTTTAAGCCAGCGTTTATTCAAAACAATAGCAGTCAGGGTCTGATGAGCAGCAGAACCTGCAAGACAAGGAAGTTATGATACAGCTACTGTATTTCAACATGAAGTTTTACAAAATAAAATGTTCTAAATGAGTGAAACAAAATGCTCCATGTTACCTTGCTGTATCCACGGCTTATCTTGACTGCTGTCATCCAATGGCTCATGCTCACAGAACCCTGTGGCCCATGTGTGTTCATTGCGTACATGATGTAGTACTCCATGCCACAGTATCTGTAAAATAAAAGCATTGATAGATAACAATTGAAAATGGCACACACTTTGAGTATCTCTTGTTATTCACGTACCTTAAACTGCTCTACAGTACTTGCACGCTGACAGCAATACCAGAAATGGTTCACTATATCCTTTACCCAATGCATCAACACAGAATGTTCCTTGCCTTTTGCTGCCTGATAACAAAATACATTTATGAGAATGACTTTGTACCAAAGGTCTTTTCCTATTTGAGATTAAATCATTCAACAAATAACAGTGGTAATTGTGGCAATTTGACTTACTTCGCGTAGCTTCCTTCCAATATTTTTGGAAGCATGCCAGACATCCAGCGAATGGGTTAAACTCCAATCCTTGTATTTTCCACGTACTGGATCTGAAGATAATATATTTCCTAAGTTAAATTATTTTTGGATGAGAAGTTTGATTGAGTGTGAAATATACTTACCGAGCAAGGCAGATATTTGTATATGAGCATCCGTCACTACTTCTTTTATAGGGATTTCGTTGAGAAGGCAGTCCATTGTACTTTCAAAACAGACTTTCTCCAAGATGACCGAATTCCTGCCAAATCTCCTTTTGTCCTCGCTCACAATGTGCACAATGTCACGGGTCTCGTGCTCAATCATGGTGTATGTACAAAATTGTGCACAGTGGCCTACAAATAAACATTTGGTAAGTAACAAGAGTTTTTTTCCACATGGGAAGATTTTTGTATAGCATCACATACCAGGGGAGTCCATTCTGCCATCACCTGATAAAAGAGAAAAGATACAACTGAAATATAGCAATGTAATCTGCTTCCCAACAATGACACATATTGACAAGCAAACATGAAAATGACACTTACCAAGTGCAACTACTTCAGTCTTTTGTCGAAGCTTGTTCAACACCTTCTCTCTACTCTCTTTCCAATGCTCCTCTACAGGCTTTAGGCAGTATTCAGACTGTATGGCAAAAAAAGTAGTCTCTGCAACCATTCCCATACACATAAATTTGAAAAGGAGATGGATTTTTTTGTAGTTGTTTCCAGAGAGAAGAATGTTTGTTGACAGCATGAAATCGCCTCCTTGCATTCCAAATTTTAGGAGTGGCTGAGAATTCCAATGCCAAATAGTGTGTCCGTGAGGGCAAACCTAAGTAAAGACGAACAAAGCAATTAGAAATTCAATACATTCTCTCACAACCTTTACCAACACCCCCACATCAGGTGACACCTTTTTCCAGGCTCCCCCGAAAGTCGTTCTCTAAACAATGGTGGTGCTTGCATTTACACTTACCCATTCAAGAATGACACCAGTCCCTCTGGGCTTTAATTGCACATGAAAAGGAGGCCTTCCATTGCATAGTGTCCCCAAAATAGGATCTCGGAACTGACACAACTGTACAGGCAACTGCATGTACCTTTGAAAAGTAAAACAGGAAATGAGAGGCTGGCATAAGATAGTAGCTATAGGTCTTAGAGATTAATATACCTTGCAAGAGAGAGCAAGTTGTCATTGTAGCAGATGCTCGCTTCCTTTCCTACGAGGTCCTCTACAGTCTCAACCTTGTGTCTTACAGGAATGTGTTGATCTTCTTCAGGAATATGGGCACCTCCTCTACATCCAGCACAGCCTCATCTATGTGTATTTCAGGAAGCTTGTCAATTTCTGCCCTTGAAGCTCCAGTAGATCTGTTACAATAACATTGAGGAGTCAGTGTCATTAAACAGCTTTATATATTTTGTGACAAGTGGAAAATTACGATAAGTAATTTATGAACAGCACATACCGTAGATAGAGGAAAGGAACATAATCCTCATCAGAGTCGTCATCTTCCCAGCAAACAGCTTCCTCCATCTCAATCCTACACAGAAAAATACATATTGGTCTTGAAATGCACGCTTTATACATACAAAAAGGAAAAGGGTAATTTGCACACAATGTAAAGCACTTACATACTATTCTGCAAATCATTAGCAGCCTCTAGGTCGTCATCATGTTTTTCAGAAATTGCCAACGAGTGCATACTGCAAAAAATAATAAAAAATAAACAAACATGAGTATATTCTTCTCACAAAATGATTGATTATTATGTAATGGACTCACCTTGATTCAAGCACGTCAACTTTTTCACTTGCTGTGATCAACTCCTCTACACCTGAAAGGACCATTTCTTTACCCCTACACAAGTAGAAAAGAATGTTGAGCTATAATATCACTGAAGCTCTGGTTTGTCTTTATAGTTCTATTAGTTTATGTACAATCTGCTTGTGCAGGTGCAAAGCATAATTATTTTTATCAATAGCATTGTCATCAGTGAGCCATGTATAGTGTCTTATAATTATACCTCTTTGAATGAATATTTTGATTTGTACCACAAACTGTCTACAGCTAAAACATAGTGCAAACCTGTCATGATCCGAAGAGTCTGTAAGACTCGATACTGGTGGTCCAGGAGGTTTTGCTGTGCCCTCTCCTTTGTATGGTGTGGATGTTGCTACACCTCTCCGTTCGTAACTAAACAAAAAGACAAGTCCTTGTATGAAAGCAATGCCAACAGCACAGGCAAAATGGGCCATAACAAACCGGTGCAATAATACAGTATGCCTATAAATTAAAAGTGTTGGTATTTCATTGAATCGGTAGATGGGCTAATAGCAGCCTGTTAGCTTGTTAGCCCTAGTTAGGCAAACACATCCACAGTATAATTACGTGCAAATAGAATCAGCAAAGCAATATCATGGGGGTATAGAATTACCACAACCAAGTTAGTTTTATGAAAGTAGGAATCTGTTACATATGCGAAATGTCTGAGATTTACACACGTAGCGCTACACACGTTAGCTTTGGTTTGTAGCCTGTTACCTTCGTCTGCCCGTATTTTGCTTCTACTAAACAGCGAAAATAATGACAAAGACATTTTACTGTATACTAGGAGCAAAGACTTCACTTACCAGTCTAATAACGAAGTTGAAAAAACAGAATCAGATTTACATCCAGCTTCTTCTTTCAACCTGCGCCAACGAGCAAACTCCTTTCCCAGATCGACCCTTGTTTTTCCTCGAGCACGATCCCTTTCGCGTTTCCTCTTTTTAGCCTCCTCCGAAGGTTTAAACTTTTTCCTTGCCTCAGCCATGACCAGGAGTCGAGCAGGTGAAAAATGAGTAGCAAAAGCCTTAGCTCCATGAGTATATCAGCGCCTGTAGCCGTAAAGCAAGTCTTTCTTCCAAGTCACGTGACCTGGTAAACGACGGTGCGTCTGCTCGAAACTTACATGGGCGGTATTTCAAGAGGGCAGCCCCGCTCGGAGCATTGCAAGTGTCAAGCGCTGTATATTGGCCCAAGTATTCATATAAAATAACTCATATGTGTCAACTCTTTAGGTCACAAAGTCCGCGGTGTGCCTTTAACAGCAATGACAACTGACAAGTGAGCTGTCAATCACAGCCCAGACCACGCCCAACTCTAACCCCCCCTTCTGGTCTCCTGCTCCTCAATGTTCATGTGGGCGGAGTAAGGCTGGGCACAGGTGTTTAGTCGCTCTTTAAATTGCTTATTTATTGGACATCTAATCCAGCTTCAGCAGGCAATACAAATATGTGCAATAAATAAACCATTTAATATGTGCAGAGAGGGTGGACATGGTGATTGTGCTTCTGTTACAGTAATAACCCATATAGACTGAATCCTAAAGTACACAGAGACTTCAGCTTTAGGCCTGTTGCTACACCCACAATTAAACTTGACCTACATTTTGCTTGTTTAATTTCTTCCAACATGAGCTTTGATACATTGCTGCTTTTTTTTACTATTTCTTCATTGCTTATAATTTGCCCATTGGGAACCGCTCACTTTAGCCCCGTTGCTACATCCACAATTAAATTTGGCCTACATTCTGCACGCTTAATAGTTTCCATTATGACACAGGGCTAAGCTGATTGAAGTCATTTGCGCGCCGGTTCCTTTGTGTTTTGTTTTATTGCGTGGATTAAGCTGGCCGGGATGGGGATTTCCAGACGGCAGCTTCCGAGGGGCAGATACGGTCCATGTTTTGGGGGGCTCCCTGAGTGTTGGAGCCAGGCGGAGGAATGGCAGAGACTGTGTGCTGATGTCTGTATGCCCAGCTTTAAAAAACATGCAGCACAATGAAGAGGCTCCAGGGACACGGAGCCCGGCTGCACACTGCACAAAGCAGGACAATAGTGAGGACAGTGGGGTCATGTGTCTGCTGCTGGAGGGAGGATAGAGGCTGAGGCTGAGGCTGAGGGAGAACCAGGGACAGGGGGCCGGCGTGTCCACAGCACAAAGCAGGACAGTAGTGAGGACGGTGGGGTCATGTGTCTGCTGGAGGGAGGGCTGAGGCTGTGGGAGGAGTGGGAAATGTATCAATCAATCAATCAAAGTTTATTTGTAGAGCGCCTTTCATACACAGGGCAACACAAAGCGCTTCACAGTCCACATCACAAATCATCACATAAAACAAACACCAGAATCACAATTAAAACATTAAAATCACACAAAAGATTAAAACACAATTAAAACAGTAAAATCACACAAAAGAATAAAACCATTAAAACTTTCAAAATTACACAAGAAATTTAAAAAAAATAAATAAATGACAGCAGTGCATTAAAAATGGAGATAAAATCCTTCAGTTATATGCACAGGCAAACAGAACAGTCTTTAACCTGGATTTGAACATTGACAGAGTAGACGCCTCCCTCACATTTTCAGGGAGATTGTTCCAGATCTTAGCTGCATGGATCTGAAACGCAGCCTCCCCATGTTTGGTTCTCACTCTGGGCACCAGCAGGAGGCCAGTCCCTGTGCTCCTCAGAGTCCGGGCCGGTTCATATGACACCAACATGTCACTAATGTATTCTGGTGCAAGGCCATGGAGAGACTTGTACACAAGCAGAGCCGTTTTAAAATCTATTCTTTGAGCCACAGGAAGCCAGTGCAGAGACCTGAGGACCGGACTAATATGGTCATACTTCCTGGTTCCTGTCAGGACTCTAGCTGCTGCATTTTGGATGTACTGCAGCTGCTTACAGGTCTGTTTGGACAGACCTGTAAGCAGGCCATTGCAGTAGTCTAGCCTGCTGGAGACAAATGCATGGACAAGAATCTCCAAGTCTGCCCTGGACACTATATTTCTAACTTTGGCAATGTTCTTCAGATGGTAAAAAGCTGTTGATGTTATTGATTTTATGTGGCTATTGAAATTTAGGTCTGAGTCCAGTATTACCCCCAAATTTCTGACCTTGTCTGAAGGAAGTAGGGAGAGAGACTGAAGTTGACAAATGACGCCCTCTCTTTGTTTCTGGGGACCAAAGACAATGATTTCGGTTTTGTCTGCATTTAGCTGGAGGAAATTATTTTGCATCCAGTCACTGATCTGTTGGATACAGTGAAGGAGCAAATCCAGTGGTCCATGTTCTCCTGCAGTCAGTGAGACATAGATCTGAGTGTCGTCAGCGTAATTGTGGTAGGACACTTTGTTTCTTTGTATTAACTGACCTAACGGCAGCATGTAGAGATTAAATAGGAGAGGTCCCAGGATCGACCCCTGTGGTACACCACAGGTCAGGGCCACATCATCTGAGACGCAGTCTCCAATCTCCACAGAGTACTTCCTATCCTCCAGGTAAGACCTAAACCAGTCTAGGGCTGTGCCAGTGACACCAACCCAGTCCTCCAGTCTCTGCATGAGGATCTCATGGTCGACAGTGTCGAACGCGGCACTAAGATCTAACATGACCAAAACTGGAATAGACAAATGTACATGTTTGTCTATTCCTTAACGATGTCCACTCAAATTTGTCAGGTTTGAGTGGACAAATTAGGTTTGTGTGAGATCTCAGTCATACAGGGATTATTCAAAACAAAGGAATTGCTACCTCAGATTTCATTCTCCGTCTGAGGAACTTTCTCAGCCAGAGATGTATAACCCGTGGGAGTGGTTGGACACCCCCTGATCCTGAGACTAACTCATTAACACATCTATTGTCTGCCAAGATTGCTGGGGTTGGGTCTAACGATCCTGCTCGGGGAGAGTGCAGGTAGTTAAGGAAATGTAAAGGTAACTGAAGCAGAATGAATGAAATGTAGTGAATGGTAAAGTCTTGTGTGGTCGATAGAGAACACATGGACTGCAGATGGAAACCAGCTATTGCTATAATCTGTCTCTATGAGCTTAAAGGTGCCATATTTTGGTTGTCTTAATTTTTTCAGTCCATCCAGCACATGTGATAATAATTTGGGTGATAAACCATACAACACAAAACTTGTCAGATTTTAGTCATTTCGTGCATAGCGGTCATGTCACCTGATGTGAAACAAGCTGATCTGTGCTCCTCTGTCTGTGAGCCCGCCTCCCCCCACCCACACGGTGACGTAGCATCACGCTAACTGAGAAGTAAACAATAGCTAACAGCTTTTGCTGGTACAGTCCTTTCACACCTGAGAGTAAACTTTTTCTAACAAGGGCAACCGGTCACGTAGAGCCCTATGTCCTCAATCCAGAATCAGACCTTATTTATTGAGTTCACAGTGATATACAACGAGTTAGTTGCATTGTACTCACTGAGGCTCCTGTTAAAGTCTGTTATGTTGGGAATAAACACCAGGTTTCCAGATCAGCTTTTGAGTAAGTCCCGTTTCAAGGTAACTGAAGTTCTGGAACAGTCTTTGGTGGTTTCACCGTCAATCGCAAAAAAACATCTGCGAGTTTTGTCGCAGATTTCAGACTTGCGCAGATACGAGGCAGATCTCTGTAAACTAAGTCGGTTCCCATTCTACGTCTTTTCCAAGATGAAGCTAACACAAAAAAGACGCTTATTTACTGTCTATGGACCACACGCTGTACTTGGAGAGAGGCTGCATGAGCTGCATAGACACCGCTGATTCAGATCAGTTTCTCCCCGCTGTCAATCACCTCTCGGGGGTGGGCTTTTGACGCCACGTCATGATTTGAATCAGCTTGTTTCTGTGCCTCTCGAGAATGAAAGAGAAAGATCGCGCTCTAACTAAGGGTGCTTTCACACCTGCACCATTTAGTCCACTTATAACAGACTGGAGTCCGGACCACCTGCAAGTACGGTTGGTTTGAGCAGGTGTGAAAGTGGACCAGTTAAAATTAGTCCGGACTAAAGAACCGCACCGAGACCTATGGAGTTGGTCTCGGTGCGGTTCCGGTCTTGTCCACTGCTGGTGAGAACGCTGACCGGCCTCGATTTTTGCCCTTCTCTGGTGCGTAGCTCCCTTTTTGGTCTACCGAAGCTTCCGTAGCAAGCCGCGCGGTGTTCTGGGTAACACAAACTTTTTCCGTAAACATTGTTTTGAAGACGCTGGAAATGAATCGGGGACAAACATGGTCGAAAGAGGAGGTACAGTGCCTCATAGAAATATGGTCAGATGAGCACATTATTTCCCAACTATCGAGCACCCACAAAAATGCGGACATTTTTGTCAATTTTTGGGCAATTTTCTCAAAACAGATGAGAGAACGCGGTTTCCAACGGTCAGTTGAACAGTGCCGCATTAAAACCAAAAAGCTAAGACAGCAATACATAAAAATACGGGATGCTCTGAAACAATCTGGAGGCACTTCAAAAATTAAAGATAAGTTTGAGTGGTACGAGGCACTGGATAAAATCCTTGGGACAAAGCCTGATGTGGAGCCTATTGACATTGTGGAGTCAAATGAGGAGACGATGGAGCCCCCAACAGATGACACCGAGACCGAAGCAGATGTCCCCGGACTATCTGTGTCACTACATGGTAAGAAACCTTCTCTATGAACACAGTTACGATGTTAAAAGATTAACAATAGATATTTTGCTGCTGCATTACAGACGAGGAGGCAGATACTAGCCTGGACAGCAGTGTCTCATGTGCTCAGGAGAGTGAACCCAGTCGAGCCAGCGGGAGGCTTGAGATACCTGGGGCCAAATCAAGGAAAAGAAAAGCAAAGGCCAGGGGACGGGATGACGACTTCGCCAAATATATGGCAGAAAGCCACAAGGTTTTGGAGGAAATGAGGGAGGCAGAGACCAGGCAGTTAGAACAGGATCAGGCTCTACAGAAGATGCTCAAAGCGCAACAGGAAGCAGATGAAAGGAGATTTAGTGCCTTGATGACCCAGATGCAAGCCTCAAATCAGCTGATGGCGAATTGTTTTTCGCAACTAATCAATATGGTGAACACACAGTTTCCTCCTTCATCATCCTGGTCTGGTGGTCCGTCCCATCAGAGCCCCCCTTATCATGTTCCACACAGCTCCCATCAGCTGCCACCTTCTGGAGCTCCACCACACCACACCAGTCCAGACTATTATAACCTTTAAGATGTACAGTATGTTACAATTTGTTGCTATATCTGTGTGTTGTAACATGCATAAGGTTTTAATGTTTTTCTTATCAGGATGTTTACCTGTGTTTCATGTTTGCAAACTGAAGAAATGTTAAGTTATATCTAAACACAAAGTATGTGTGAAAAGTTTTCTTTAAGTTCAAGATGTAATGTAATGAAATGTTATGAACAACTTTTTTCAATGCAGAACTTTATTGTGTGTTAATGCACATTTGTTTGAATTGTTGACATTGACAGTCAAGTAAATAAAACTTACAAAAAATATTGTCTTTAAACATTTAAATGTGCTGTAATTCAGAACATGCACATAAGTTGAAATATTACAAAAAGTCATTGACCAAACAATCACAAAAGTCAACGTAATAATTTTAAATCATCTGCAACAAAAATGTAACCGATGTCTTTTTAAGGTTAACATGAGAACATTCATGCTAATAGACATACTAACAAAAACACGTATTTACAAAGTTGAAAAATATCTACACAGGGCATTGCGGATCTCTGTTGTTGATAATCACCACCTCTCCCCTCTGGAACAGCTTCAACATTGTCATCAGCTTCAGTGTCTCCATTCAAATAATTCTCATTATGCATTTCCACAAAGTTGTGCAAAACACAACATGCTGAAACAATTCGACTCACAAATGTAATATGGGCATCACATGTCTTCAACAGGCAACGCCATCGTCCTTTAAGGCGCCCAAACGCACGCTCAACTGTCATGCGAGACTGACTCAGTTTGAAGTTGAAGTTGATCTGGTCAGCTGTAACCCCTGCTCCCTCTGGATAAGGTTTCATGAGCCATGGGAGGAGAGGATATGCAGAGTCCCCAGACGAGTCAACCAGGGGCGAAGCAGATTGCATAGTGTGTTGAAAGTGGTTCTTCCCATTCTGAAGTTTGCACTCCACTCAACATCTGTCCAGCTGTGAGTCACAAACTGCCACCAGTCGCCAGGTCTTTTGTGGGTCCACACACTCCTATGAAAGCATACACAACATTATTTTTCTACTCATAGCATGTACATGTTGGTATTGTAATGGTTTAGTGACACTAGAGTATGTGGGTACAGTGACAGCATTTTGTTTTTTAATATAATAAAATAGTCAATATTCGGTATTGCAACAATAATCAATAGTAAATAACTGATGATTCTCCGTTTATCCCCGTCAATTTCCCTTCACCTTCGTTTTGCGTAAATAGACCAACAGTTCCCTTAATCCTACATGATGATAAGAAGATAATCTTACCGGAGAGAATTCCGAAAATGCCTCCGAAAAAGAAGTTGGTTCAAGTTTTGCAGTTTGGTTCTTTTTCGGAGATAGTGTTTTGCAACACGTCTTCTCCGCTCCAAAAACAGCCGCAAAGTGTTCTCGCGCTGAATCCTCGATACATGTTGGAACAACTGCAGTATTTGTGCTTGCTGGACCATGAAACGATGATAAAAAACAGTCACAAACGCGAGCAGAGTAGCACGGTTCATAGTGGAGAATTTGACCGGTTTGTTTTCTTCCGGGATTTTTCCCTCTTCACATCCTGCGCCAATCAGCTTTCACCTACGTCATCCAATACACAGTATTTTCTGAACAGCACCACCACATGGCTGGTGCTGTTCACAAACATCCACACTGGTTGGTTCAATTGCAAAAACACTGGTGTGAATGAGAACCGAACTAGTTGAGAACTGCAACATTGTAACAACTTTAGGGACCAAGCGAACCACTTTACTGGACCAACAGGTGTGAAAGCACCCTAAAGCTTGACGGCAGGGCCGGCCCAGGGCATAGGACCGCCTTGGTCGCCATCTGCAGGATGGGGTGCAAAATTACAGTCTTAAAAATAAAATAGAAGTGTTTCCCATCACAAAGATTGAAATAAACTATTTATGTATACTGTTAACTTAATAAAAATTTTCTTCATTGAACCCTGCTGCTGTAGGCTGCGCTGTTGTCACGCAAAGGTGAGTAGGTGGGGGGGGGGGCAGCCTCGCGCATCCCAGAAATTGTGACAGATAGGTGGACGTGGTTTTGGTCAACGTTTTTATGAAAAGGCAATCCAAGCAATAAACACAGAAGAAAAGAAGAGAATGAAAAACGGGCTCAACGTATGTAGCCTATGGATAAATGAGAGTCTAAGCCAGGGGTCCCCAAACTTTTTCCTGTGAGGGCCACATAACTTTTCCCTTCTTCGATGGGGGCCGGGTCAGTTTGTAACAGAAAAAGTTACTAACTAATAGTTGATAATGAAAGAAGTTCATAACTAAGGAACTTTTTATTGCAAAAGTCCAACTTTATTATCAAATACACATATGAGTGTGTTCACAGTAAAGTGTCAAATAAAGTATCTGGACTTTAAAAGGTTATAACTCAAAAACTAAAATTACCATCAGAGATTTGAAAAAAAGATTTCCAACACAAAAAATAAAATCAAAGATTCACAAATATATTTTTGGCAACACTTTAAATGACAAAATCAGCCTCTGATTTGACCATTCTACTGTGACGCCAGTGACATAGAAAATAAAATGTCCTCAGTCTGAAAAAAGCGGCAGATGAACTCCCACAAGATTTACATGGTTAACACAACATAAGTTAATCACTTGAAATAAAAAGGAATTGTTAAAAAAATAACAAAAATAAATGACCCTTGAAAAAGGTTTAACGAACGTTATGGTTTCTGTCCATTTTTACAATTAAACTTGAGGAAAAAAAATCTGGTCTGGTTTCACATTTAATTGGTTGACTATATGAAAGTATCACTTTGTGTCTTCTTTGTGTAAAAAAAATAGAATCTCTTAATCAAATGTGGACATCTGAAAATACGTAACAAACTTTCGCAAAGCTCATTCTGTCAAATCATCACGTCCGTCACATAAAATAATTAATATTATAATTGATTAATAAAATCAAATTTTTGGCCTTTTGTCACACTTTTGTGCCCTTTAGTGTGAACAAACCCATATATGAAGATACTCTCTGGTATTGTTCAGGGGGCCAGAGCAAATGTAGAGGCGGGCCTCTACAGGTAGGATTGAACCAGGACGGACCCAGGAATGGGCCTGCTGAAACAGGACTGAGTCAGGACTGAAAATAGGACAACCAGGACCAAACCAGGACCGAGCCAGGACTGAACCAGGACTGAACCAGGACAACCAGTTGGGCATACACATGACCAACTACTCTGGGCATGTGTATAAAGGCCAAAAAGCTGTAATCATGTTTAAACCAGAGAAAAGTCAAATAGCATAATATGGCACCTTTAATGTTTCTGTGCAGTGTTCCTTCAATAAAGATTATACTATGTATGTGTTGTTTGTTTATGTTAACTTAAAATCCAACTTTTATTTCCTGTCTGTGACACATGAAGTTCTGAAGCACTGAATACTGATGCAATCCACCAGATGGGGACCGTACAAACTCTGTGCTTTAACTTATAACCACACCTGTTTTTATTAAAATGTTTTTGTTTGTGAATACTGTATAGACCAAAAGTTTGGACACACCTTCTCATTCAAAGAGTTTGTTATTTTCAGGATTATGAAAATTGTAGATTCACACTGAAGGCATCAAAACTGTAAATTAACTCATATGGAGTTATGTATGTACTAACATTATTTTTATTTTTTTGAATGAACTGAGAATAGGTCTTATATTCTCAGTTCTCCAAAGTAGCACCTTTTGCTCTGATCACTGCTTCGCACACTCTTGGCATTCTCTTGATGAGCTTCAAGAGGTATTGACCTGAAATGGTCTTCAACAGTCTTGAAGGAGTTCCCAGAGATGCTTAGCACTTGTTGGCCCTTTCACCTTCACTCTGTGGTTCAGCTCACACCAAAACCATCTGGATTGGGTTCAGGTCCGGTGACTGTGGAGGCCAGGTCATCAGGCCCAGCACCCATCACTCTCCTTATTGGTCAAACAGCCCTTACACAGCCTGGGTGTGAATCTACAGTCAATAGTCCTGAAAAGAAGGGAAACTCATAGAATGTGAAGTGTGTCCAAACTTTTGGTTTTTATACTGTATTTGACATCATGTCCCATGAATTTGTACAGTAGTTAAGAGAAACTCCAGTTTAAACTTTTGTTCAAAAAAGGTCAAATATAAGATTGTGTAAATTTCAATCGTACAGGGATTAGTCAAAGAAAAGGAAGGTTAGGTTTGACATGCTAATGTGTTAGCATCGTTAGCCCCAGCAGTGTCGTTAGACCTGCTCCCTACCGCATCTTAACAGACCCCAGGATTAGGATGTGTCTAACCACAACCATAGGTTATAAATCTCCAACGCGCGGCCTGAGATTTCATTCCCATGAAAAAGTTCCTTGGATTAGGGACGAAGCGTCGGAAAAACCTGCAAAGAAGATAATGTGTGAGAAACCTTCCTTTTCCAAGGTCAAATATAATTTTTTTCACGTGACCATTTATCTGGGTACACAAATTCACAAATGATGTCAGTAACTCATATCAGTCACATTGATAAACCTTGATAAAAACTGCAAGAGCTGTGCTGGGATTATTTCAATCTCCGTTCTGAAAAGTGAAAACAAAACATTATAAGATCAAATATGCTGATGACACCACCATCATCGGTCTCATCAGTGACAATGATGAATCCTCTTATAGAGCAGAGATACAAAATGTGGTTCAGTGGAGTAAAACTAACAACCTCCAGTTGAACCCATCGAAAACATGTGAACTGGTCTACGACTTCAGTCGCAATAGTTCTCATTTGCCTGTCGTAATCGACAACTCCCAGGTACAGATCGTAGAGGAGTGCAAGTTCCTGGGTTTAACTCTGTCTAACGACCTGAAATGGGTTAAAAACACTGACCGAGTCGTTAAGAAAGCTTGTCAGCGTCTCTACTTTCTGCGTAAACTTATGGCGCGTTCACACCGGACTTAACTTCGGCGTCAAAAGCGTCAGGTTTGCATTGAAAGTGAATGGTGAAGCGCGTCAGGTGAAGCCGAGGGGCCCGGCGTCACTTGGCGCGCGTCAAAAGCTTCAAAGGTTGCGCGTAATACGCGCTCACTTGAAGCTTTTGACGCGCGAATCGCTCGCGTATCACAACAATCCCTTTGACGCCGAAGCTGAGCAAAGCTGAGCTTTTGAAGCTTTGACGCGGGCTTCAACCAATCAGGAGACAGGGTCGCTCTACGATGAAGCCGGTGGAAGCGGGAAACAAAATCATATTTGAGAACATGGAGGAGAGCTTAATCGTGGCGATTAGCTCTCGCCCAGAGCTTTACGCTGTTTCCAGCCCGCTATACAGGGACAGGAAGAGAAAGGACCTTGCTTGGAGGAGGATAAGCGAGGAGATCGGGTACGATGGTAAGTTATGTAAAGAATTCATATCTGTATTCCATGTTTAGTAAACTCCGGTCAGGAGTCGTACAATGTACAGTCGCTATGATTTCTGTTCCCGCTCACAAGTCCATTTGTTCATATAGAGAAAGAAATCAAAAAGAGGTGGAAAAGCCTGAGGGACAGGTTCATGAGGGAGTGCAGGAAGGAGAAGGAGAAGAGGCGGATTGGTGCAGCAGCAGGGACAGTGCAGAGGTGGAGGTACTTGGCATCGCTCTCCTTCCTCGAGCCCTACGTAACACCGAGGCCATCTACTGGTAACATGACAGCACACAGGGCCGAGGAGGAGAGTGCGTACAGCCACCTCCAAGAGGAAGAACCAGCAGCAGCGGAGGTGTCAGTTGCAGGAGGTCTGTAGCTAAAACAATGTATTGAATGAAGTCATGCAGCTGCCCACTAAACTGTTTTGTTGTCATTGTTTATAGCAAGGTTATTTATGAGTATTAACGTTCTTAATAAGCAACTGGCAAAATAAATGTACATATGCTGTAAACTAATGTCAGATGTAGGTGTGTAGCTAAAACAATGTATGGAAAGAAGTCATGCAGCTGCCCACTAAACTGTTTTGTTGTCATTATTGTTTATAGCAAGGTTATTTATATGAGTATTAACGTTCTTAAAATGATTGTACACGTGCTGTGAAGTGAAAGTAATTTATTTAATAACAGATGACGCTGATACGGAGTCAAGTTCAGAGACAGAGCCGAGTGCTGGACCGTCCTCGGCCTCTGGACCGTCCTCGGCTCCTGGACCGTCCTCGGCTCCTGGACCGTCCTCTGCTGCTGGTTCTTCCTCTGCTGCTGGTTCTTCCTCTGCTGCCGGTCGTTCCCCTGCTGCTGCACCTACAGGTGTGTAGGAAATCAATTTTATTGTTGTGAAAGTATAAACGTTATATTAAACATTTAACAAATACTTTTGAATATGTGGGCATCAAAAAGTGAAATATACAAATCGAATACTGTTTTTACATAGGATCTAGTTATTTTATTTAACATAAGAAAAGGATTTAAAAGTTGTTCATAGATTATCAGATCCTACATACTCATGACTTTATATTTTTAAAGCTATTGTCTTGTGGTGTTTGCAGGTCCACAAAGGAAGAGAGCGAGGAAGCGCACCACCCAGGACACCTCCGCCCAGGAGCTATCGCGCTTGGAGCTGGAGCTGATGGCCCTCCTGCGGCAGACTGCAGCTCCAGCTCCATCACGAAATGAGCTCTTCCTCCAATCTCTGCTTCCTCTCCTGGATAAGGTGCCACCTCAATCTTTAGAATTTGTCAAATTCCAAATTCATAAATTACTTTATGAGAGCAGCGCATTTACGCTTAATGTGGAACAATTGGAGCACACTTAGTAGTAGTGTTTAGCTATGAGGTGGCTTCTTTTGCAGGGGAGGAAACAGACTCTTCTCCTTCCTGCACTCCTCCTCCAAGCAAGGTCCTTTTTATTCCTGTTCCTGTTCTTTTTTGTGTATATATTTGTTTTTACATATTTCATTAAAAAATTTATAACTTAAGATTTGGTCTGCTACTTTAAATATGTACAGGTTTTTCATAAAGGTATGTGTTCAAATAAGTTAAATATCACTAATTTCAAATACTTCAATTAAGGAGAACTTTACTCGTAAACACGTTATCACCAAATATGAGACAATAGAAATTATAATAGAAATAGTTGACATAATTAATTTCAGCATATCCTGTTTGGACAAACTTGTAATTGAGGCCATGCTTGAACATGTTGTGAAGTCGGAGACAGCTGCAGAATCTGGAACTACTGCAAACAAGAAGGGCACAGGTGAATGGTTAAAAAACATACTGGATAAACATAGACATGGTCTTTATCCAAGACTAGAATTCATGATCAGGATGTTGTAGTATTTGTGTCCCGATATTCAAAAGTAATGCATTGGCAAATACAGACACTCAAATATTATTAAAGAAGAAATGCTCTTTAGTTTTCATGGGTGGCTCTTAAAAGAACCGTTTTGGGTCAGTCCCGTGAGGATCTGACTACTCTGTCGGCTGCCATGCTACTGCCCCCTCCTCACAGAAGTGGGCCATGAACGCCTCCCTCGCCTGCAGTGCCTCTCTGGTGGCGTTGTTGGCACCCATCCTCCCGACACCTGGAAGACAGTCATCTCCCTGCGCTGCAGCTCCTCTCAGGACTGGGACCGGAGCAGACACCCTCAGGAAATTGTGGAGAACACATGTGGCCTTCACGCACTTCTCCACAACTTCTGGCCGGATCTCGAGGTCCCGACGAAACATCCTCCACTGCGATGACCAAATGCCAAACGCATCCTCCACCACCAGCCGGGCTCGGGAGAGGCGGTAATTAAAAATGCGCTGTCCAGGGTTAGCGCCGCCACTTCCTGGAAAAGGCCGCATTAAGTTCCTCCGCAGTGGGAAGGCCTCATCTGCCACAAAGACATGGGGCAGGGGGCCTCGGTGCTCTGCTCCAGGGAGATGCCGGTCAGCTGGCAGAGGAAGTGTTCCCGCATGCAGAGCCTGACCGAAGGTGGAGTTGGCCAGGATCCCTCCATCGCTGGTTCTGCCATAGCCCCCTACGTCAATCACCCTGAACTTGTAGTTGGCATCTACAATAGCAAGGAGGACCAAGGAGTGCCTACCCTTGTAGTTGAAGTACAGGGAGCCTGAGTTGGGGGGTGCCTTGAGGTTGATGTGCTTCCCATCTATAGCACCACAACAAAGAGGGAAGTTCCACCGCTCCTCAAACTCCATAGCAGACAACCTCCACTCCTCTTCTCCAGGCACAGGCATGAACTCCTCCACCAGGCCGTCCCAGATGGCTGCCACCACATCTGGGATGATGCTGGAGATGGTGGAGATGCCCACCCTGAAGCTGCTTGCTATGGTCCTGAAGGAGTCCCCAGTAGCAAGAAACCTACAATGATACAAATACGACTCAGCAATATACAAAAATATTTTAAATTAATCATACAATATGATCGTGTAAATTTGTTTTCAGGAATTGCACCAACAATGGAAATGTACCCTCTCTTGTGAAATCACAGGGGGGTTAATCACTTGGGAATCTGAATATATTAAGTACTAAGTAGCAGACAATGCTGATTTAAATTGATCAGTTTTCTAATAACTTCACTACAGTGACACAATGCACCTTCAAAATGACTTCAAATGCACAAACGAGGGCCATAGCAAATATATCAATTGTATTAATGATTACTCTAAATACAATCGTTATAACAGAGAAAGTCTGTAACAAAAGCCTCCTTGGGTTCACGGGTGTTCAGCGCCGCTCAACACCCGTGGTTAGCCGGTTAGCATTGGAGCTCCGCGCTGGAGGGAAAAAGTCCGACAAAAATTTAAATATCTATTTAATCACCAAACAGACCTCTGATATGACATTAGTGGGGTATATTTCCCGCCTGAAATGTTATTACAATTAACTTTTATGTCCTAATTAAAACGTATATTCAACGTTTAACTACTGCTTTTGGCTGCTCCTCTCTCTCGCTCCGTGATCCATGCTAGGGACGCTATTTCCTATTGTATTTGTAGATATTTTATCAGAAAATTCTCACTAACCTCAGACAGATAGACAGGCGCTCTTCCGCTGGAATCGAGCGCCTGTAGTTGGTGTCCATGCGGGCGATGCGAGCTCCGATGCGGGTGAGCAGGTCATCAAACTGGGTACTGACATTCGGAAGTACCGCTGAAAGCGAGCCTCGTCCATACGCAGCTCCTGGAGTAAATGGTGAAACTCACCAAACACTGCACGCCTCTGAAGTATGCTGTGAACCCATACACGTTGTGTAGAAGCCCTACGACGACGTTGTATGGATTTTACCAACAAATAAAGGCAAGCTGCTCTTCGGAAATCCGCCATCTTCTCTGGACTACACCGGCAACAGAGAAGCTCCTCCCACCAGCGTCAGGCGCGTCACTCGCGTCACTCGCGTCAAAAGCTTCAAGCACCAAAATGACAAAAATAACCCGGCGTCAGCTGACGCGCGTCAAAAGCTATTTGAAGCTTTTGGTCTGAACGCGCCATTAGAGAATTTATCACTAACTCTAAGATTCTGCTTAACTTTTATCGCTGCACCATTGAGAGTTTACTTGTTGGTTCTGTGTCTGTGTGGTTTGGAAACATCACAGATAAAGAAAAGAGAGCTTTAAACAAGGTGCTCCGCTCTGCAAAGAGGACCGTGGGCTGTGAGCTTCCTGTTCTGGAGGTTCTTTCGGCGGCACGGTGGCTGAGTGGATAGCACTCTCGCTTTTTAAAATTCAGTCTCAAAATATTCAATGTTTTCAAATTCAGTGTCCAAAAATTCGTAGCTTTTTTTTTTCGCTGCTTGAAATGTCATGCTTTATTTCCGGGTAAATCAAGAACAAAGCAATCGATCAGCCAATCCTCCATAGATGTAGCCAGGGCCAGAACACGACTGTCTTGTTCATCTGAACATGGCGTCCACAGCAAACCAGTAAGTGTGTTTTCTCATCATTAGTTGGTATGTAACACGCAAACCACTGCTGTATGTACTTTCTGAACATGTTTTTCCCTTAGCTTATCATTAGCTAGCGCAGGTGGCTTCTATGTTTTGGCGATTCCCCAAAGCTGATCTTCTCCAATGCTAAGCTAAAATGAACCGCAGGAATTCCAAGTACATGGGGGTTTGCGGTTCTTGTGTGACGTATGTACCATGTTCCCAATTTCAATGTGTATATTACTCTAGCAGTGCAGCAAGGACGAAACCTGCTGACTGTTTTAGAGACAGAGCAGACGATAATTATTCTATCTTTACTCTAAAATTTAGACATCTTAGTGAAACCAAGATGGAATGAAGGATCGGTTCTTTAGGGAGAGAACAAACCCACGGATTCAATATTAATGCTACTGAGAGGAATCAGACTGATAGATATGGTTTTAATTGAGTATATTTGTAAATCCCACTCTACCAGCCTCCTGTTAAAGACTGGCAATGTATTTACATTTATTGTTGATATGACATGTTAAAGTTCATGTGTGTGTTTGTAAAGGCATCGTACTTCTGCTCCTCCTCAGAGCGTCTGTTACTCTACTACTGTGTATTTGTATTAATTAATTTGACTGGGACAGTACATGTATATGAACATATGTCGACATGTCTGATTGTAACAAAAGGCTGATTTTAATCCCAGAAGAACCGATTAATTAATGATTTTTTGTGTGAATTTCTTTTCCAGAGGCAGCTGTCTTCCAGAGGCCATCATTTCTTCATCCATTTCCATCACCTCCAGCTCCTGTGGATTACGATATAAACTACAACGACCAATGTGTTCATTTGTTTTATTAATTACAAGTCATGGATAGTTAGAACACATCTCTCATTTTCTGAAGACATATGCAGCAGCAGTAACAGCAGGTGCCTGGACGTCTGTCTCTGACTGTCTTTTCTACGGTGGACTCATCACAACCTGGAATAAAATAAAATTATTATGATTTAGTTCTTTGTGTGCAATGAAAAGTGATGTATGCGTTTGTTTTATCCAACCACACAATTCGTGAGAAACATGTTTCATAGATTGTATTTAAGTACTACTTCTAATCTTAAATACATTTAAGCCATTAACTCTGACATGATCAGGTCTGTTGGATTTCAAGAGGAGCTTGTGCTCAAAAAGTAAGTACTCATGACCTTAAATCTGGTCCGTAAGTTCAAGTCCACGCGTCTTCTGTGTCCAGCTTCATGTTCACAGATGTCCCCCTGCACATAATCACGTTTGTACTTAATACAAATTACTTTACAACAAAGTGATGCACAAACGAGGGCCATAGCAAATCCATCAATCGCACTAAACACATGCATTATTTACATGAAATAACACATTTTTAAGACTAATGATTACTCTTAAAACAATTGTTATGACAGAGAAAGTATGATACAAAAGCCGCCTTTTTGGGGTTTCATAATTACTTCCACAGTTAAGACTGTTAGCATAATGGAGCTCTCAAAATGACTCCCAGCACATGACGCTCCATCCTGGGCATCAGCGCAGCTCTACACCCGTGGATAGCGTGTTAGCATTGGAGCTCAAGGCTGGAGAAAAAGTCCAAAGAAAATCTGTTTAATCACCAAACAGACCTCTGATATAACAATAGAAGGGTATTTCCCACCCCCAATGTTAATACAATTAAATGTTATGTCCTAATTAAAACGTAAATTCAACTTTTACCTTTACCTCATCATGGCCGCTCCTCTCTCCGCTCCGTGATCCATGCTACAGCGGGACGCTCACGTACAACAGCACGGCCTGATAATAGTGTGCAGCGTCCGAATCGCCATCAGAATGAGTCCACTCACTCAGTCACTCACTCACAATAGTCCCGCACAGTACAGTGCGGACATTCGGATAAAGCCAAAGTCGTGTTCTGGCCCTGGCTACATCTATGGAGGATTGACTGATCGATTGCTTCTGTCTTGATTTACCCGGAAATAAAGCATAACATTTCAAGCTGCGAAAAAAAATGCTACGAATTTTTGGACACTGAATTTTTTTCAACATTGAATTTTTTGAGACTGAATTTGAAAACATTGAATATTTTGACACTGAATTTTAAAACATTGAATATTTTGACACTGAATTTTAAAACATTGAATTTATTTACACTGAATACTTTTTTGTTACAGTTTATAGAATTCAAAAGCAAAAAAAAGTGTTGATAATAAAAACACAAAATAACCTTCATAGTTTTATGTCTGTATTTGTCTGTGCACACTGGTGACTTTTTGCTAATGTATTCCAATGTGTTTTTTTTTTACTGCAAAAGGCAAATAAAACTGAATCTGAAAGTGTGACAGAAAAAATGTCCCAGAGTACTGTAACATAAAGTCTGTACTATTATAATGTACTTATATTTCCATTCAAGTCAATCACATTTATTTTTGTACAGCCCTCAATCACAACAGACATGTCCATAAATGTTGTTGAATGTGGAATGTAAAACTGTATCTGAAATGATTGATACAGACTTTGTATAGAGCTGCTTCTCAACATCAGGAGGAGCTTGCGGTGTGAGAGGAGGCTTCTGTGCTCTGAGCATGGGCCACAGAGGAAGACACAGGACACGCCGGGGGGACTGTGTGTGTGTCAGGGGGCATCAGGGGCCTCTCTGGTCTGGGAGATGGTCAGAACTGTTTCCCTGTCAAAGCATTCACAAGTTATTATATATATATATATATATATATATATATATCAAAGTAACTCATATCAGTCACATTGGTATTACATCAACAAAAACGTCAAGAACTGTGCAGGGATTATTTCAACCTCCGTTCTGAAATGAGAAAACAAACATTTTAATTACTGTGTGGCAAAAGAAATGTCTCAGAGTACTGTGATATAAAGGCCGTACTATTATAATGTACTTATATTTCAATTCCACACTCCCACACAGACATCTACACAGTCTGTGTGGGAGTGTAGATCACTGGGGCAGTTTAACCTTTTCTTTGAATTCTTTCATAGATAATCAAGTCTGCAGCCATTCATCAGATGTAAATAATTGTGTTGTATATATTGTGTTTCTTTCTGGCTAGGGGTGTTGTATTTAAAGGAGCTATACCCGTTTCTGCAAGGTTTGAGTGTTTAGCACCGCCCCCCAGCTCGCTCACAGGTCTCTCATTTCCCCTATGCTCTCATTCCATGGAGCCATCTAGTTTTATTTGCAATCTATATGCAAACATTAGCATTAGCACAACTTCTTGTAAGCCGTACAACAATCACTGATGAAATGGTACAAAAGCAACGCACAGCTAACAAATTGTATTATTGAAAGATTACCGCTAGTTCTGCGTCCGAATGTAGTCCTAGCATAGATAGTCCGAGGCGGTCCCGCAGCTCTCTCCCATAGACAAGTCTCTCCGGAGGATACGATGTAAGCTAGCTATGTCCACCCGGGCTTGATTTCTTCTTTGATAATTTTTTTGCTTTAGTTCCCTCTTCTCTTCCTCACTGTTGTGTCGTTCGGGCTGTTTTGCTGTGTCTGCAGTTACAGCAAGAGGAGTTATAGCCAATTCTGCTAACATGCTACTGTGTTTAGCAGCGCTGTAGAGGCTAGAGGACGCAGCCTCGTTCTGTGATTGGAGGAGAGCTATAGCGTCACACTAAGTCTCTACTCAGCACTTTTTTACGGCCTGAATTCATACACAAGCTGAATCAATGAGCTCAAGCTTTCAATTAAATTACGGTTTATAATACAACTTGTATATAGTAACTAGCATTTTTATGAACTCATTAAAACAAAAATTGGGTATAGCATCTTTAACCTGTATTTTAAATGCTATCCAGGTATTCTATGTATTAAATCTTTGCCCACCGTAAACCTGCTGTCACTCTGCCGCTGCTCAGGGACCACAGAGGAAAATTAGCTTGTAGCCATGTCTGGTCTGAACAATACATTCATTGAGCAATGTCCCTGCCAAATACAAATACAAATACATAAAATGGAGTTCAGGGATCTGTCTGTTCTCCAGTCATACTCGGCTGCAGACTATTATCAGTTTAACCAATTAGATCAAATAACCCACACCAGATTGATAAAATGTGTTGTAGTTTTTTTTTTCCCAGACTGTGTTTTTAGAGCGTCACAGCCTGGTACTGTTACCTTGAAGTTATTTACTTTGAGTTCCACCCCTAAACTAAATGCGAGACAAGCCTTTGCTTCCCGCTATAGTCCGCACACATTCTGGCACGCCGCTAAAGCATTTACATTTATAGAGTTTGTTCAGCCGAGCATGGAGCGTTCTGTGTTTCTCGGCGTGGATCTAATTCTTTTGTTATTAAGGATTACAAAGTTTAAGGAGAAGCACAACTGCACATAATTGTGTAATGTACTGCTGTTTTGTGCGCTCGTCTTTGGCTGTATGTGTGGACAGAAGGTTTTCAAGTGTGCTTTGTCGACGTGACTTCTGATCTGCTATGGAATATTTGCTCTGGAATAATTTCAGAGTTAGCTTATACCTAAAAGTGAAACGAGTGAATGAGTTCAGCTGGTTTATCAGTTCTCAGTCAAGTCCCCAAAGTGTTGGGAAATGGATGCAATTGTCAATTTTCTCTCAATATAAGTGAAAAAGAAAACACAAAAGTATGATCACACTTTAGCTTAGCTATTTTTAGGTATATGGGGGTGGGAGATTATAAGTGCTTTGAAAGGAGTGAAATGTATGTTTGAATGTCATTTCCATAATTTATTCCTGTTTATAAGCTTGAAATAAGTATGATAAATCAGAAAGAGATATGGTTGATTAGCTCTTAATTCGTATTTATTAAGCACTACGTGTCATGAGGGGTGGGATGAAAGAAGACTCAAAAGCAGATTCAGGCCCTGTTTATACTGAGACGCTGCGCAGACGTTTCCAGGCTATTAACAGAAACGACCTGGCTCCTAATGCAAATTTCTCAGCGTTCACATGAGGTTGAAAAACGATGTAGTTCTAACGCCCGGCCAGTAGTGGGCAGATAAACTTTACAACACGACACACGACCCCGAGCCCCGTGCCCAGCCCCCCTCTCGGCAGTATACTCACTTCCTGTGCCAGACCCTCAGAACGCACCAACATCTATCTGCATTTTAACAGCAGCTGTGAACATGGAAACTGAACCTAGAGCTTCGCGTGGTCTCGTTTGGACGAACGAAGGAGTAGAATTATCCTCTGTCCCGCGCTGGAAGCCCACGAAGCTAGTTTGTGTGGGCGGCGCCATTATTGTTTATGTTTGTTCTCCGCTACTGCGCATGTCCAAATTTACGTGCGGGGGTCAGAGCAGAGGGGAATTTCACACCTTTTCCCCTCTCGCGGGTGTGAAAAAGCTCCCTGCTGTGCAGCGTATCTGAGTTGTCCCACTCTGCAGGCTGGATCTGAACACTTACGTTTTCACCCCCCTGGAACACAGTCTTTGTATGAACGGTTGGTAGCAACCGACATCCAACTATACCGTTTTACTGCCACATTGTCTCCGTGTAAACTCAGCCTCAGATTCAGTTTATTTGCCATTTGCAGTAAAAAACCACATTGAAATACATTTGCAAAATGTCCCCAGTGTGCACAGACAAATACAGACATAACACAACATTTTAAGTACAGAAATAAAACAAATAAAACAGTAAACAAATGTCACTGTGAAATCGATCGACTAAAACAGTTTCAAAACAAGTGCAAATCATTAAAGTGCTCTGTTCACACTGATAACAGCTTGTGGATTAAAACTGTTAGCGTAACGAGATGTCCTGCATCTCAGAGAGCGATATCTTCTGCCAGAGGGAAGAAGCTGGAACATGGCTTTCCCAGGGTGGCCAGAAGAGTCATTAACAATCCTAAGAGCTTTGTTTAAAAGTCTGGATTTATAAAGAACCTCCAGAACAGGAAGCTCACAGCCCACGGTCCTCTTTGCAGAGCGGAGCACCTTGTTTAAAGCTCTCTTTTCTTTATCTGTGATGTTTCCAAACCACACAGACACAGAACCAACAAGTAAACTCTCAATGGTGCAGCGATAGAAGTTAAGCAGAATCTTAGAGTTAGTGGTAAATTCTCTAAGTTTGCGCAGAAAGCAGAGACGCTGACGAGCTTTTTTAACGACTCGGTCAGTGTTTTTAACCCATTTCAGGTCGTTTGACAGAGTTAAACCCAGAAACTTGCACTCCTGTACAAGTTTCTGGGTTTAACTCTGTCTAACAACTTGAAATGGGTTAAAAACACTGACCGAGTCGTTAAAAAAAGCTCGTAGTAGAAATGCAAAAATACTGATTTAATAAAAGAAAAGTCAAGGTGAAAACAAAACTCAAAACCTAAAAACGGAACCAGGAATACAGACAGATAGATAGATAGATACTTTATAGATCCCCTTAGGAGAAATTCAGGTGTCTAGTAGCAGCAAAAATAAAACATAAAATTGATCACAACTAACAATAGTAATAATCAGCAACAGCTCTTCAGGTCACAGCAGCAGAGGTGAAGTAGCCTCTGGATGGAGCAGGACGGGTCACAGCAGCAGAGGTGGAGTAGCCTCTGGGTGGAGCAGGGCGGGTCACAGCAGCAGAGGTGGAGTAGCCTCTGGGTGGAGCAGGACGGTTCACAAGGTGAAGTAGCCGCTTGGTTTGGACCATTTTCTCTGCTCTAGTTCAAAGTAAAATGCTAAATGCTTCATTAGTATTCTTCAAAAAGTTAGCATTCCTCCAGCGGATTTTCACTTGATCCTCTTGGTTCGGACCATGAATCCTCTCTGCTCTGCTCTGGACCAGTGCAAAACCATGAACACTGTTCATCTCAGCAACATCTCAGGTAGAAAAAAGCAAGAAAAATACCAAATTCAGAAGCACAAAAAAACAACTGTTTCAGAGCTGCTTAGGACTCGCAGCCGTTTTCCAGCGCATTCAAAAGACAATACAATGGACCAGCAACAAGGAGAAAGGAGCACAGGGCACATATCGACGGAGACTCAGGTGAAACAGATCAGGGCGGGGCAGACAATCATCAGGGGAACAGGACAGGAAGTAAAACTGAAATGTCAAAATAAAACCAAATACAGACATAAAATTCACACCATGACACTTAAGTCCTTACTCCACATCTAACTTACTACTGACGGACACTTTCCCATGTGGGCTAGGGCTAGAGTTTAAAATATATACTTCTTCAATTAGTAGAGACTTGGCAACAAAAACTTAAAGTATGTACATGTAAAGGGAAAACTGTTAGAAACCTGTTACAAACGCTCTGAGCAGTGATTGTTTCATACACTTCCTCGAGAGATAAAAAAAAAATAAAAAAGTCTTTTACTGTGTCAATTAAAGGAGACGTATAATATTCTCTCTTTCGACACGTTTCAACATTGTTCTTCATTAAAACACACCTGGATCTGTTTTTAGATCCATCCATATCAATAGCAGTCATAATTTCTGACACAAACATTTAACTCCGCCCCTTCAGATGTTGGTGCAATATCCATACATTTCACATTCTAAAACATGGAAGGCTCAAACAATGGCAAGGTTTAAAGTTAGGGTACCTGCTTTATCTGTCTTCTTCTTATTAGAATGCTGTCTTT